ATATTGTTTTGTTGTTCCTTCTTTGTTAGTATGAGTGTCTGAGTGAATCTAAAGTTTAGATTGGAAAATCATGACCACTTAAATTAGATGGGTGGAATATACTGCCCTATTAATTTTGCTCCCAAAATGTCTTCTCTAAGGCCCAATTTAATATTGCATGTATTTCATAATGAATGTATCCTTTCCATTATTTTTACTTTTGAAAATGCTTTTATTTTTTATTATTGTCATACAATTACAGTTGTCCCCATTTTCCCCCTCATTACTCTCCTCTTCCCTGACCACCCCACCTTTCACATTCAATCCTCCCCTCATTGTCTTTGACCATGGGTCCTTTATACATATTCCTTGATGACCCTTCCCCTTATTTCACCTGTTATCTCATTTTCCCTGCCACTCTTATCACTGTCTGTTTGTTCTTTATTTCAAGGTCTCTGGTTCTATTTTGCTCACTGATTTATTTTGTTGATTAGATTCCACTTATAGGTGAGATCACATCCCTTTGAAATTCAAGAGTAGAAATCTCTCTCAAACACAAAGAAAAAAGGCTATATTTAATAAAAATACATTTTAAAAAATTTTACACAGCATTCATCATCTCAGTATGATATTTTCATAATGAAAAGTCTACCTATAAATAAGTCCTTATATGACAGCTACTTGAATTTTTTGTTTTTATTTCGAATTATTTATCCTTTGTAAGATTTTGGGATGTAAAATATACATAGTCAAATTATTTATGTTTTACATTTACATTACATTTTTAAAGGACCAGAGCCTTGTTAGCCTTTTTGAGTAGAGCAATCCAGTGAAATGTTTCCTATAATTTAATTAAGTAAAATTAATATTCAGTACCTCAACTACATTATCACATTTCAAGTCCTCAAAGTCACATGGGGTTATAAGACTTCCTTTATGTAGGTATACAATGTTTCCATAATTACCAAAATTTCTGTGGAGCAGCCATGGGTTATGGTGCATCTTGTACTATACAGCAACCTTCACAGACACCTAACCCTAGCTCCACTCAAACCTCTAACTTAAAAAACAGACAAGTTCTAGGCTAGTTTCATTTTTGCTGAATAATTATCTTTTCTCTTGTCATTTGTGTTGTAGCTGCAACTTTTTCTAAACTGTTGTTTTCATTTTTTTCTTATAATGTAGGCATTTTTCCAATGTCTGAGAGTTCCCTGATTTTCCTCTTTGTCATTGATTTTCAGTATTCAATTATGATGTGTCTGCCTGTGCTTTTCGTTACGTTTATTCTGATTGGGGTTCAGTGAGATTCTGGGATCTATTAGTTCATGATTTCCATAAAATATGGAACATTTTTGGTCATTATTTAAAAAATATTTTTGCCCCTTTGGCACTCCATATACATGTAGGTTAAAGGGCTTGACAATGATCACACACGTTACTTATGCCCTTTTATTATTTTTTCCCAGTGTTTAATCTTCATGACCCATTTTGAATACTCTCCGAAGATTTTATTTCTTTATTTTTTAGAGAGGGGAAGGGAGATAAAAGAGAAGGAGAGAAACATCAATGTGTGGTTGCCTTTCACACTGCGAACAGGAGACCTGGCCTAAAAACCAGGCATGTGCCCTGACTAGGAATTGAACCAGGGACCCTTTGATTCACAGGCCATCACTCTATGACTGAGCCACACCAGCCAGGGTTTATTCTCTACTTTTATAGCTTCACATTCACAAACCAGTTCTTCTGAAGAGTCTTATCACTTTTAATATCAATCAAGTATATTTTTATATTTGATAATATAGTTTTCATATTTACATGTTCCATCTGATTCTTTTTTATATCTTTATTTCTCTCCTGATTTTGGTTTAATTTTCTGATTCTTGGAGTGTCTAGGAGTATTCTATCAGATGCTAAACTTTTTGTATTTTACATATTTGAGTGATTTCTACTTTTTAAAGAATTATTGTGCTTTGCTCTGGTAGACATTCAGATGTTTTGGTTAGTTTGATCATCTTGAGACTGTTTTTTAAGATTTGTCAGTGGGTTCCTAGAGTACCTTTTGCCGTAAGTAACCTTTATCCTCATTACTGAGGCCTGCTCCTTTAGGGTCTAACATTGTACTGCAGAAATTGTTTTAGATTCTAAACTGTTGCTGGTGGAAACTTGAATGACCCCTGGCCTTTTGTGGATTGGGAACCAGTCAGCTCACTGCTTTTCAATAACTCTAACCAACCTCATGAAGTTCACCTTGCATACATGTATCAGAAGTCAGTGCAGATTCAAAGGACTCCTGGGACAACATCTGGTTACATTCTGCATAGCTCTCTTCTCTCTGGGAACATGCCACAAATCCCTGCTTTCTCAGATGTTCTGAACTCTGATCTCTGTCACCTCAACTCAGTAAAGTTGAGGTGACATTATACACATATACACATACACCCCAGCTCTGTGACCCAAAACACTTTCCAGACAGAAAGCTGGGACCAGACTAGACCTTCCTTTACTTTTTGTCTGTCAAGCACCTGGGCTTTGCACTGCCTCTGGTTTAATATTTACATGAGCCTAGTTTTCTAGTTGCTTGAATCAGGAGGGTTCATTCAACCCATTACTCCATCATGGCTGACAGTGAACATCCTTCTTCTACAGACTGAAAATTCATATAACAGAGAAGCACAAGCTACATATTATCCTGTGAGCTGAGGCTTGATTTTGCAGTGTTGAAATGATAATGTACAACACTACCACAAAACTCTTTCTTTGTTATAAACACTGATGAGAATTGGCAAGTCAGACTTTGTGTGAAAAGTTAGACACATACAGATTTTAAGGAGATTAAGAGTCATAAAGTAGAATCTGGAGTTAAGTTATGAGAGTCATCCATGGAGTCAAAGGACAGAGTCAGGGAGGTTATGGTGGTATTTATAGTGAGAATTCAGAGTACATCTGTGCCCTCATATTAAATATGACACAGGGTCACTGTCAAAGACAGACCACTAGATTCTGTAACCATGGGTCTGTCTTAATCTAACAATTTTTGTGTTTGTTTCTTAACCAACTAACCCCTGTCCAGGAAATAAAATGTCAGCCATATGAATAGTTTATTCTTGAAAATAGTGCTATAATAATTCCAAAAATATCACATAAGAGCTAAAATAAAATATTATTTCTGTGGATGATATTACTGATGTTGGCCTGGAGGGGTAGGGGAAGTATTCATCAATCTATTCCAGAGCCAAAAAATAGGTCTTTTAGCTTAATTTTCTCCTTTTGTGTGATTAAAGTACACTGGATTATATGAAGAAGCTAAATGTTTAAAATACATCTGTACATCTTGATTTTCCTTGTTTCAGTTGATTCTCAGGGCATTTGTCTTGAGGTATGTCATAGATTAAATTGCAAAAATTGTTTAAAGTTATCAGTTTTTTGTCCTTTCAACCCTAATATTGAATACCTTGAATGATTTATAAAGAAACCACTAAAATGCAGCTAAACTGAAACAAAACAAAGCAGCAGTATAATCCTTGTTTATAATGATGTCATTCTCTTAATTTTTATGTGAATAAATGCTCATGAAATTCACCTTTCTTATAAGGAGAAACATGTAATTATGAGGGTCTAATATTTAGTAAAAATTTAACCACCCAACATGTAATAATGAACACTCTAATTTTTCTGCTCCTGACTTCAAAAGTTGCTGGTTTAAGTACACAGTAAATTTATTAGTACATCCAGTTTACATGGCTTTAAGATTTCCAAATATTACTGCTCAAATTAGAAATGTCATTTAAAACTATCTTTAACTAAGAGACTGTTTTATTTTTATAACTCTAGGGTTGTAAAAGAGATTCTTCATATAAAAATATTTTTTCACTGATAAAATATATCAATTAGCTAATGTCCAACCTTGCTTATCACTGTCAGAGATTGTGTCTTTGTAGAAATTTAGTTTCACTAAATTTTAAGTTGATAGGTACTTTAAAAGACAACACCAAGCAGTTACAAATAGGTGCCTAATAGACAGAAAACTGTACTTGAAAAATAATTAAATAAAATTAAAAAAAATAAAAAATAAATATTGTTGAATGAATGAATTTTTAAAGTCTTGAAAACTAAACCTGTAGGTGCTGGAATACTTAGAAATAAAAGCTATTCAGCTTAATTAAGCACAATTAAACACTATTCCAAGCCCACAAAGTAGTGTTTGGAAACATTAGCTGTCTTTAGGCCACATAGGAACCATTAGTTAAATGAATTAAAAATGAGTTTGAGAATAGAAACATTAACATGAATTCCCAATCTACTAATTTGCTGATCATTGATGAAAACTTAGCTACACAGGCTGCTTGTTTTGGGAAATTGACATGTGATACTGGTTCAATTAAAGACAATGTACAAAATTCATTCTGTTTAATCTCTTTATTTTCAGAGTCATGTTTTCTTAGTGTTAAGTGTTATAACTATTTTTTTTAATTTTTGACACCATTTTTCTTTTTCCACAGCATTTAATGGAATGGATAGTTAGTTTCTAATAGGACGGTTCTAAGAATGAATAGTCAATATGTCTACCTGTTAAAGAAAATGAAGAGATAAAAATTCATGTTCTTAACAATAAAGGGAGGTCATTTATATATTGCATCATCAGGCCTTAGCCAGGTTGGATGTTCCCTTGTTGATACAATAAGGTGACTTATTCTACAACTTCTTTCTAAAAACTGAGACTTAGAAAAATTATAAAAGGTTTAATTATTACTCAGGGCTTAATTGTAGATAAAGAAACCAGGAACTCATCTACTTATACTTCTATACTAAGTGATTATAAATATTTTTCTATCACATTCTGCAATGCAATATTCACCTTTTGCCTTACTAAATTTTCTTTTCAAGAAAATCGGTCATACTTAGGTAATTGAAGTTTACCTGTTACATATTGTAAAACTGCCAGTGATGTTCATTCCATCTAATTATTTACCCTTTGAGCATTGTTGTTTGTTTGTTTGTTTGTTTTAGGATTAAAACCAACCATGACCGGCAAAACACAGACCAGCAATGTCACCAATAAGAATGACCCCAAGTCCATCAATTCCCGTGTTTTCATTGGCAATCTAAACACAGCCATTGTCAAGAAAGTTGACATTGAAGCCATTTTTTCAAAGTATGGAAAAATAGTAGGATGCTCAGTTCACAAAGGTTATGCATTTGTACAGTACATGAGCGAGCGGCATGCAAGGGCAGCAGTCGCTGGAGAGAATGCCAGAATCATCGCAGGCCAGCCCCTTGGTAAGTGATGCTCAGCCATGTCTTTCACACTGCTGATACTATCTCTGCACATACTGGATGTGGTCTTACTATGTAAGAGCCAGTAGGATCATGGTAACTATCTCTTACTTAAAAATAACAATGCTCATATATTTTAAATTTACAATATTATCTTGCTTGTTCTCATATTCTTTTACATATACAGTTTTTTTTACATGTTTTGAAACTTGAGGTCAAGTGTGCTTATCATAATTGTTACCTCTATCAATCCTAATAGAGGCAGCAAATGAAAAATAGACCATCGTGTTTAACTTGATTTGATTTGAAATGGCCTCTCTTCCAGGAGACACTATGTTATGCAAAAAATAAAATAATAAAATATAATAAAATATAAACTTAATATACTTGTTAATGCAATAATGGCCAACTTGTAAAGAATTTTTCTGAGAGCTTATTGGAACCAAACTGATGATATTCCTGAGAAGCAAGATCTTAAATGTGCTGGAGAATGATGGTTATTCAGGTTTTTTAATACATTTGGAATGAAGAAGGGGAAATAAGAAAGATTACATGAAAGTGGGAGAAAACAAAGTACAAGATAGCTAACAAGATTATGTGTTTCCTTCATGGTAGTTACACTTCTGAGGGTGTCTGAAAAAAAGGATTACTTCTGGCATTTGAAAGTTGTGTGAATGTGGATGCACAAAAACAATGGACAGGACTTGCTCAAAAACCTTTCACTAAGGAAGTTATAGGCCTGCAGTGTAACTACTCACTATGACCTGCCCAGCCAGGAGGTATTTATTATAAGGTCACCCTGTGAGTTTACTTTCAGCCACTGAACTTGTCGGACTAATTATCAGGTCCCTTTTTAGTTCCCATACTTATACTATTTGCTTTTAGGGAGCTAATGTATTTTCCTTATTGTATGTTTTTTTTTAACTTTTTGGAGAGAATGGATAGAAAAATAGCAAAAGAAGGTAAATTTTCAGAGCTGGAAAAGCAATATAACCCAATGTTTCTTATCTTGTCAGGGATCTTGTACATCATACCTGTTAAATCATGAAAAATAATCAGAATTATGCCTAATGTCCAAGAAGTAATACAGTTTATTTCAAGAAAAGAACAGAGTCTGAAGTAAAATATATTCAAAAGAATATATTTTGTAATTAATATATAGATTAAATTTTTTCATTTTTTACATGAGGAAAAGATAATGAATATCACAGTGATTCCATAATTTATGACCAGATGCATGTATCAAACTGATTATACAGCACCATCTCTTGGACATCTATAGGCATCTAAGCTTTAAATGCCACAAAACTCTTGTTTCTTAAATTTATTTTAACTGTTGTTCAAGTACAGTTTTCTGTCATTTACTCTCATCCCAGACCTCCCCTCCAGTGCTCCCCACCTCCCTCCTATTTCCACTCCCCTTAGTGTTTGTCCATGTGTTCCTTATACTTGTTTCCGTAAACCCTTCCCCTTTTCCCCTGAAATTCCCTCCCTTCTCCCCTCTGGTCACTGTCAGCCTGTTCTCTATTTCAGTGTCTTTGGTTATATTTTGCTTGCTTGTTTGTTTTGTTGTTTAGGTTCCTGTTAAAGGTGAGATCATATGGTATTTGTCTTTCACTGCCTGGCTTATTTCACTCAGTATAATGCTTTCCAGTTCCATCCATACTGTTGCAAAGGGTAGGAGCTCCTTCTTCTTTTTCTACTGCATAGAGTTCCATTATGTAAAGGTACCATAGTTTTTGGATCCATTCATTTACTGATGGGCACCTAGGTTGCTTCCAACACTTGGCTATTGTAAATTGTGCTGCTATGAACATTGGGGTGCATAGGTTCCTTTGGATTGGTGTTTCAGGGTTCTTAGGATATAATCCTAGCAGTGGAATTGCTGGGTCAAAAGGCAGATCCATTTTTAATTTTCAGAGAAAATTCCATACTGTTATGCATAGTGGTTGTACCAGTCTGTAATCCCACCAACAGTGCACTAGGGTCTACTTTTCTCCACAACCCCTTCAGTACTTGTTGTTTGTTTCTTTGTTTATGATGGCCATTCTGACTAGTGTAAAGTGGTATCTCATTGTGGTTTTAATTTGCATCTTTCTGGTACCTAGTATTATTGAGCATCTTTTCATGTGTCTCTGGATCCTCTGTATGTTTTCCTTAAACATAGTATCTCAAGTGTCTGTTCAAGTCCTTTGCCCACTTTTTAATTGGGTCACTTATCTTCTTAGAGTGGAGTCATGTAAGTTCTTTGTATATTTTGGAGTTTAAACCCTTGTCTGAGGTATCATTGGCAAATATATTTTCCCATACAATTGGTTGTCTTTTGATTTTAATAATGTTTTTTTAGCCATGCAGAAACTTTTTTATTTTGATGAGATCCCATTTGTTTATTCTTTCCTTTATGTCCCTTGCTCTAGGGGACATATCAGTGAAAATATTGCTAGGTGAAATATCTGAGATTTTCCTGCCTGTGTTTTCCTCTAGGACTTTAATGGTGTTATGGCTTATATTTAAATCTTTTATCCACCTTGATTTTATTTTTTGTATGGTGTAAGTTGGTGCTCAAGTTTCATTTTTTTGCACATAGCTGTCCAGTTCTCCCAAAACCATTTGCTGAATAGGCTATTTTTACTCCATTTTATGTTGCTGCTCCCTCTGTCAAATATTAATTGACCATGAGACTTGGGTTTATTTCTGGGCTCTGAATTAACATAATCAGAATGTCCATACTACCCAAAGCAATTTACAGATTCAATGCAATACCTATGAAAGTACCAATGGCATATTTCACAGACATAGAACAAACACTTCAAAAATTCATATGGAACCATAAACGACCCCGAATAGCAGCTGCTCTTTTGAGAAAGGAGAACAAAGTAGGAGGGATCACAATATCTGATATCAAACTGTATTACAAGGCCACTGTAATCAAAACAGCCTGCTACTGTCATAAAAACAGGCACATGGACCAATGGAACTACAAAAACTCTTGAATGTTTATATCCTCACCCTGCGTCACCCTCATGCTCTCCACCATAATAAACAGGGTAGGACCTTTATCTGTCCAGTTTTTCAAACAAAAACCTAGGGGTCAAACCAGATTCTTCTCTTCCCTGAACACTCCAACATTCATCATCACCTTTCTTGTCCTCCATGTCTCAAACTATGTCACCCTTGAAATCTCTACCAATAGCTATCTCACATAAGCCATCATAGTATCTCAGGTGAACTACAATATAACTCTAAAACTAGATTGTGCCATGATCCTGCTCTTAAATATTCAATATCTTTCCATCTCAATCAAAATAAGATTTATTTTCTATACCGTTTCTATGATGCCCCTCACTACTACATCACTACATCCTTAACTCCATCTGCTAATTCTCTTCATCTTCTTGACTACTGGTAATATTGGTGACCTCGCTATGCCTCACACATTTCAGGATTGCTCATACCTCACAGGCTTTGGATTCTCCATTTCTTCTGCTCACAAGACTGGTCTTTGCTAATTATTTGCTCCCTGCCTTATTGTGGGCTATGCTCACACTCTACTTCCCTAGAGAGGCTCTACTTGAAAAACTTGTCTTAAATGATGCCTGTGGATATTATACAGAAAAGAAAAGTTGGCCTTAAATTAATTTAGCTGTTTTTGTATGTTCATATTTCTTTTGCACAACAGTGAATAAAGGATATCCCTACTTACTAATCTACCCCTGGCTTCCTGGTTTTGATATTTAAGGGAGCTCCTAAACTTTCTTTAGAAAAGAACAATGGATTACATTTGATTGACATTATTTTTTTATTATTTATTTTATTTATTTATTTTTCGAGAGAGGGGAAGGGAAGGAGAAAGAATGGGAGAGAAACATCAATGTATGGTTGCCTCTCATGCATCCCCTGCTGGGAACTGGCCTGCAACCCAGGCATGTGCCCTGACTGGGAATCGAACCTCGATACTCTGGCTCGCAGGCCCACGCTCAATCCACTGAGCTATGCCAGCCAGGGCTGATTGACATTATTTTAGGATTCTTAAAAAGTTACAATCAAGCTGTGAAATTCTTTTCAAATTAAAAAAAAATTAAAGCACAATGTTTATAATGTGAAGCTTCTTATAAAATTTTATCTTGGTTATTTAATAAAATTTAAATTTAAAAAGGTGAAATACTCTCCAGTTCCATCTATTCATGCTGTCATGAATGGTAGGAGCTCCTTCTTTCTTTCAGCTATGTAATATTTTATGTATAAATGTACATGGAATTTTGATCCACTCATCTTTGATCCACTTATTTACTGATGGGCACTTTGGTTACTTCCAGAAGTTGACTATTGTAAAATGTGCAGCTATTAATATTGGAGTCTATAGGTTCTTTTGAACTGGTGTTTCAGGATTCTTAGGGCATAATCCCATCAGTGGAATTGTCAGGTCATGGTTGGAACTGGAGAGCATTGTGATAAGTGAAATAAGCCAGGTGAGAACAGACAAATAACATATGATCTCACCTATAAGTGGACCCTAATCAACAAAACAAACAAGCAAGCAAAATAGAACCAGAGACATTGAAATAAAGAATAAACTGACAATAAGCAGAGGTGGGAAAGAAAGGGATGGGTCATCAAGGGGATGGGTCATACATGGAACATGTATAAAGGAACCATGGACAAAGACAAAGAGAGGTAGGATTGAGGGTGGGAAGTGGGAGAATGGGGAAAGGGAAAGTGGTGGAAGAAAACTGGAGACAACTATACTTGAACAACAATAAAAAATGTAAAACTTAAAATGAACATGTGAAATAGTAATGTAGCCTCTTAATATTTTATTAAATTTGAATTACAAATTTTGTTAATATTGATAGTATTCATTATGTTTTTAATCTAAATCTATTTATAGGAACGTTTTCTTCTCATATTAAGTGAAATGTGAAGCAAACATTTCAATGTTTATCACTGACAATTTTTATATGAGAGTTCACACTCAAAATATGATTTTGTACCAAAATATGCAG